TAATTTCTAGATGAAGCCAACCGTTATTAAAATGCCACCCAATTTATGGTGGCATCAGTTTTTATGGATATGAGTTCATTTCATCAGAACCATAACAGTACACGGAGTATGGTACTTGCACGTAATTATTTTGGAAGGGGAGGGGAGAAGGGAAAAGGAAGAATAATTTAAAAAGGATTAGAAAGAGAATGACTTTTGGGGTCCCATAAGTTGGTTAACACATGGAGAAAGAAAACTCCATCTCTACAGTGTTAAGTTTACTTGTGAATTCTAATTCAGATCAAATTCTTGTATCAGAGTTCAGGATTACCACAATGACACAACAGTGCAGGAACACTTAAGGATAAAGTGTCATCTCTGGCTAGATCTCACAGGAGTTTTTCATCCTCCCTTCCTCATCTCATCCGTGCTACTTTTACCTTTCTCCAGTAGTAAGAATTAACTGCAATGAGATCCCAAGAGGTCTCCACACAACATCTGTCGATGTCCCCCAAAAGTATTTTGATCAGCAAAATGAGCTCTTGAACCTTTGGTCAGCTCCAAGCAAGAGGCCAAGTTCTTATGGGAGATTTCTTAATGGCTACACCCAAGCACTTCATCAAATAATTAATAAGATAGAGCTCCTTAAGTACCAAATGTCCAGAAACCTTAATTTAATCTATCAATGTAGCAGCATAGTTTCATCATTGTAGACTCTAGACTTAAAGGTCTTAGCCACCCACAATCATGCACATTACGTTTACGATTTGCTGCTGGGATCTGCCAGTCCTCTGTTATTCTGCCCCACAACCTGCTTGTTCTTCTGAACAAGGCCCCCGACACCTGACCCCAAAGTCTACCTTGGCAACGAAGAGGAACTGACCTTTACAAACAGCTCAATCTCCGGTTCCTTTAGGGGATTACGAAGCCAACTTGCCATCCTCTCTCTTTAGCTGGCCACCAATCCTTGCCGAGAAGTTCCTTCCACCAAGGTATGTTTGCAAGCAGGCTTCCCCAACGATGCACTGGGTAATTTTTCAGGGCAAGGACTCTCTAGGGGAGACGGTGACCTTTCATGGTTGAACCCCCCCTTTGTGGGAAGCCGCTTTGCTGTTCCTGTCTTTCTTTCAGGCTAAGCCAGAAGTCGTGACGAGGTGAGCCGAGCAACCTTCTACCAGCCAGAGGGGGATCTCCGTAAAGACCTCCCAGCCATGACTCAGCGACACGGTTTATCAGAAAGCCACATACCACGTTCTCCTCTGGTCTATCAGAAGAGCCAGATGTCTAATTCTCAGAGAAACAAGCCAGAATACGTCCTTCGCTGGAGCGCCACTCCGCAGCTGCCAGAGTTTCTATAACAGGAAGTGAGTCGGGAAGCATCTCGAACCTCAGTAGATAGAGAGGTCGCTCACTCAATATATTCCTGCCCTATGAGAATTCCTCCTCCACCCAAGGACATCCTACCTTTTATTTACAGACTCATTTCCCCAATGATGAACTTTGACACAGCTAAATGTCCCCGTCCATGAATCAAAGGAACGAGGTAACGGATTTAGGGGGATTCCGAACATGGCAGAAATGAAAATATAATTTCAGGTTAGAGACCTGTGTTGAGATGAATTGCTTAAATGATCCCATTTCCCAACCAGTTCTAGCCATGGTCCAGAAAGCTCTTTAGAAAATAGAAGGAGGACCGTTGAACGAGAAGAAGTGGAATGGTCTTCCCAAGAAGGAAACATGATTGGATGGTCTTCCTGAATAAAGATACTCTGTCTTAAAGCATTTTATCATGAATTACGATTGGATGGATGGATGCCCAGATAAATGGATGAGTGGGTAGCTGGCTGGGTAGGTAGGTAGATGAATGAGTGGATGGATATGGATGACAGATAGACAGACAAATAGACAGATTTGGGAATGGGGGATAGAATGGATCCTACAAGAGAGCATAGCTTGCTGGCTGGCTGAAATTCTCTCCCTCTCTCCCTCTTTCCTTTTATTCAATCATATCTGATCCTTGGAAATCAAGTCCCTGCAGTTTTCTTGGCAAGCTTTTTCAGAAGTGGTTTGACATTGCCTCCTTCCTAGGGTTGAGAGAAACTGACTGGCCCAAGGTCACCCAGAGGGCTTTGTAGCTAAGGTGGGACTAGAACTCTCAGTCACCCAGTTTCTGGCCTGATGCCTTGAGGAATGCCACCAAACTGGCTCTCTGACATTCTCTAGACTCAATTCGCTAAATCAATTTACTGCACCGTTTGTGTGTGAGCGTGTGCTTTAAAACTCAAGACACAGAAAAATCTTTCCCTTTTCCTTTGAAAAGGGAGGGCTTTCCTCCCGAAACAATTTAACAAAGCCCAGGCGTTGAAGGAAATTATGCTGCTGCTTCTGCTACTGTTGTTTTGCTTTTCCAAAGCAAACCACGAGGAAAAGCACGAGGTGCTATTTGTCCCTTGACATTGCATCACAAACAATGCCCTTCTTTCACAGCTCTGCTTAAGGAGCAGCATGGGCGACAAACATTTGCCTCTTGTTTTTTTGTCCTTGTTGACCTCCCGTTTCTTCGCTCACTGTGAAAAGGGACAGATAAAGCAGAATCTTCAACTCGACTGCGTTGGTGCAATCTGCTATGTATTTATTTGCTGCTGGAAACTTCATCTTTTTAAAAGTGTCGCAGTCAGAAGCATTGGTTAGCCGAAGCATCTAGAGGAATGCCTTTTAAAATGGGTACAAATTTTGTTGTTGTTGTTAGTTGTGAAGTCATCGCGACCCCATGGACAACGTTCCTCCAGGTCTTCCTATCCTCTACCATCTTCTGGAGTCCATTTAAGTTCACGCCTACTGCTTCAGTGACTCCATCCAGCCACCTCATTCTCCGTCATCCCCTTCTTCTCTTGCCCTCCATCTTTCCCAGCATTAGGCTCTTCTCCAGTGAGTCCTTCCTTCTCATTAGGTGGCCAAAGTACTTGAGTTTCAACTTCAGGATCTGGCCTTCTAAAGAGCAGTCAGGGTTGATCTCCTCTAGGACTGACCGGTTTGATCGCCTTGCAGTCCAGGGGACTCACAGGAGTCTTCTCCAGCACCATAGTTCAAAGGCCTCAATTCTTTGGCACTCAGTCTTTCTTATGGTCCACCTTTCACAGCCATACATTGCAACTGGGAAAACCATGGCCTTGACTATAAGCACTTTTGTTGGCAGGGTGATGTCTCTGCTTTTTAGTATGCTGTCTAGATTTGCCATAGCTTTCCTCCCCAGGAGCAAGCGTCTTTTAATTTCTTGGCTGCAGTCTTCTACCAAATTTGATCTTTCAAACTCTATGTCGCTTTGCACATTGTTAAAGAACTGACACCATGTGTGTTTTGCTACAGTGGAGTTCTTCTACTTTAAATCATTCCCTTCTTGGCAAGCTTCTGTGTTAAACTTAACGTCTTGGAGGCTCATGGCACAATACAGCCGTTTAAATAGCAATGTAAACATTGAATTAATGGATGCTCTACTGTAGGCGTCTCTGGCTTTCAGATGTTGGTGAATTTTCACTTTTCAGCTCTTTAGACAGCCTGAGCAATGGTGAGGGATCTTGGGAATTATATTCCAGGAACATCTGGAAAGCCACGGCGTGGTTTTTCTCTGCACAGTTAGAAATAGCAAAGGGCCACCATCGGGAATTAGAAACGGTTTAACTTAGGAAAACCCAAAGAGCGATGCTACCGTAATGCGGAAAGGAATAATCTAATTAATTGGGTAAATGTTGTTGCTGAAAAAGAAGGGTAATGAGTAAACAGCTAATTAAAATAACAGTTGTCGGAAGAAATTGGGTAACAGCTAAATGAGCTTTTGCTACCAAGCTAGAATGAAATAGGATTTTGCTGGTAGGGTTGAGTATTTCTGGATTTTTTTTTTTATGGAAGAGGTTTTGCTATTTTAAGTGCTGTGTGGGGCTCTCGTATACATTCGGATTCTCGCTGTTGCAGGAAGGCCGTGCCTGAAGAGTTCTGAATAGTTTCAATATAGAAAATAGAACGAAACACCTATGGATCACTAATATAGAATTTTACTATGGGGAGCTGAGCTGGATGATAGTTAGCTTCCAGGTGCAATCAAACCAGCTCTTTGCCACCAGGAGGTCCTTCCTGTTTCAGATCTTGGACATCCTTCAGATGCCTTCTCTGGATTGAATCTGCATGTCTGGCAAAAACTGGACGAGGGTCTTGTGAAGGGTCTTGTGAAGGGTCTCCACACTAAGAGAACACTATCTACGGTGACCACCTAGCTGTATTTTCTCGGTGATGGCCTCTTCAGTGGAATAGCTTTTCCCCCGGACACCTCGATTGCCTCTTTTTGGCAGGGCTTCCAAAGAGTTGGAAAGACAGCTGTTCAGGAAAGTGTTTGGGACAATATAGAATAGAATAACAGAGTTGGAAGGGACCTTGGAGGTCTTCTAGTCCAACCTCCTGCTCAGGCAGGAAACCCTATACCATTTCAAACAAATGGTTGTCCAATCTCTTCTTAAAAACATCCAGTGTTGGAGCATTCACAGCTTCTATAAATATAAACCAATCTGCTGCTGTTGGTAGCACCGCCAATGGATATTGCCACTATAATTATGGTGTTTATTGTTTTTAACCCATATTATTACTTCCATGCTACTCAACAACTTTGGGAATTGAGTGGCTTAGAGTCTATAGAAGGTTCTTACATGCACAAAAATAAGGTAAAACAATGAACTCAGACAAGGAAAAGGTACCGGTGTATCTATCCGTGGAATAAGAGGCATTATTTTGGTTTTTAAATTGGGGCCCGATGATGTCCAAAGCCAGCACAGGTTGACTGGATCTCTTTTAGTTAGCTAGCCACACACAAACATGCACACACACACACACACACACACGCTGCCAGCCACGTACAGAACCAGCTCATTGTTAATGGACAATAGGAGTGTTTAGTTCCAGCAGCAGAAGGAGATGAGAGAGAACAGCAAATTGCACTGGAATCTGGGCTACATCAAGGCTGGCTATGCAGTGCCATGCCTGGATCCTGGCTAATGGGTTGGCTTTGGCTGGTTGCAACCGTGGTGAGCTTGTCCTGTTATCCAGCATTCCTGGAGGCAGCTCCTGAGTTTTCAGGTAAGTTTCTGAGATGATGGGCTAAAACTGGGGGGAAGGAGGGGTCCTGATTTAACATTGTGAGTTGCTTTCTTCTGGCTGACTGTGGCTGAAGATGAGACATGACAACATCTACCTCAAGTTCTTAAACTTCTCTTATTCCTGCAAGGAAAACTGAGGCGATCAAAAGAAAGTGAGGTCATTCTGAGAGGGATGGTGGGAATGATAAATAAAGGCCTGTGTGTATGTGTGTTTATGTGTGCTTCTTCTTTTGAATGATGACTACAAACTAAAAAAAGAAACCAAGGAAAAATTTTGGTTGTCAATGTTGGAAGGGACCTTGGAGGTCTTGTAGTCTAACCTTCTGCTCAAGAGGGATTCCCTATACCACTTCAGACAAACGGTTGTCCAGTCTCTTCTGAAGTTGCACCCATAACTTCTGAAGGCAAGTTGTTCCACTGATTAATTGTTCTCACTGTCAGGAACTTTCTCCTTAATTCCAGGAATTGCTTCTCTCCTTGATTAGTTTCCATCCGTTGCTTCTCGTCCTGCCTTCAGATGCTTTCGGTTGACCATTGACTTGCATTCACACCACCCTAACAGAAATATTTCTTTCCTGTTTTAGAATTGCTAACCAACAGTGCTTGCATCGCTTCTATTTGTTTATCTTTCTATGTGTTATGTTGTCAGATCTAGGGTGCTTCACTACAAATTGGAAAGAGCATTTGTAGGACTTGAACCATTCTCACAACTAAGGCTGTGTTATTAAAACAGTAAAAACGGCAGCAACTTAGAAAACGACCTTCCTGTAATTAGAAATGCAAAGCTATAGGAGGGTCTGTCAAGTAGTAAGCAATAGGTTCCTCACAAATGTTCAATACTGTCCATCTGGTTTTGTTTTTTTTTAACTCAGTGGTTTAAAGCCAATCCTGCCATATTTAATAGTAGATTTGTGCTGGAACAGACCTGGATCCTAATGAAATACCACACAGTGCTGGCTGCTTTTATAGAGTGGCTTGAAAATGGCTTGTGTGACTGAAGCCTTCAGAACCTTCACAGGGCTTTTCAACCTTTTCACCCATTTACCACTTTTAGGATATGGCAACATCCGAGTACCACCAGTCGCCTAGCAAGGTGTCAAAAACTTGATGACCAAAAAAAGAGGAAAAAAGTGATAAAGTACAGGTAGTCCTCGACTTACAACAGTTCGCTTAGTGACTGTTTGAAGTTACAATGGCACTGAAAAAAGTGCCCCCCAAGCCACAGCCGAGCAAGACACCTGCCTGCCCATCTGGCAGCGCTCTTCCTCCTGTCCGAGGTTTTCATTGTGAGCATTTCTGTTGAGGATTGGCAGTGGGGGTGGGGTGAGGGGGGTTGGTTTTTATTCCCCCCCGTCTGCTGGGTGGTTGCAGCAGGTTTTGGTCACTTCACATGACCCTGGGACATTGACCATCATAAATATGAATCAGTTGCCAAGCATCTGAATATAAATCACAAGACCCTGGAGATGCTGCAACATTCCAGCTGATCCTGGCACTTCTTCTGGGCTCAGCAGAAGCGCCAGGATCAGCGACGAGCTCCAGCTGGAGCCTGGCGCTGATCCTGGCACTTCCGCTGAGCCCTGACAGCCCCAAAGAAGCGCCGATCAGCTGGAAAGCGGCACTGATCCTGGCGCTTCCGCTGAGCCCTGACAGCCCTGCAGCTCCAGCCGTCTCTCGCTCAGGCTTGTGCGGTGCTGCCACCGCTTCAGCTCATTCCCTTCCCCCGCTACCACTTTTCTAGGATGTTCGCGTACCACCTGCCAGGTGTCAATGTACCACAGGTGGTACCTGTACCACTGGTTGAAAAGCCCTGGTCTAGATTGTCTCAATTTTCCTAAATAGCCTTCCTAAATGGTTTGGGATTTGCGTTCCAGACTATACAATGTGAGGGTAATGTCTCATGTCTAATGCCGGGGCCCCCAAACTTGGCAACTTTTAAGACTTCTCGATTTCAGTTCCCAGAATTTCCCACCCAGCATGGCTAGCTGCGGAATTCTGGGAGCTGACCTCCACAAGTCTTAAAGTCCCCAAGCTTGGAGACCCCTGGCCTAATGTCAAGTGCAAGTAAGATTTTCAAGGTTTCTGCTGTCTGTGACCTCCTTCTTCCACAAGGTTATCTGAGGAAGGTTTTGAAGAACCACACTATCCACGCCTGTGATGGGGAGCAACTAACAATACTTTGCCCGCACAAGACCTCCATTGCCATACTTTCTGCTTTTTATGGACGAAGGGTACCCACCCCAAACCTCTGTCCAGCCTCAAGAGAAATCTCTTGGGAGGACATTGATTGCTCATCTGCAACAGCCCATCAGGTAAGACGTTCTAACATTGCAGAAGAGGGTTTTTTTTGTCGTTGTACAGATAGTTGTACAATTGATGAGCACAATTGAGCTCAAAGTTTGTTGAGAGCCGTGCCCATTTTATGACCTTTTTTTGGGGGGGGCAGTTGTTAAGAGAAACACTACAATTGTTAACTGAACCATTTCTCTTCCCAGCATTAAGCGAAAATGCCAGGGAGAGAGAGAGAAAAAAAACAACTCATCTTCCTATCCTTTTTTTAAAAAGCTGTTTCCCCCTTTTAATGATGTGGAATCATTAAGCAAATAAAGCAATCAACACGGATGAAGGGAGCATCAGAAAAAAAAATACTGCTCCTCCTGAAAGCCTTCTATGCGGCAGGGCCATCGGTTTCTTTGAGGGCAAAGGAAGAACGACCGAGAATGTGGGTTTTTTTGGGTCAGCCTTCTCAACATGGGGCATCTCAGCTAAATGAAACCCCTGGCAGCCAGGGCTGGAGATCTCCTCCTCCTCCTCCTCCTCCTCCTCCTCCTCCTCCTCCTCCTCTTCTTCTTCTTCTTCTTCTTCTTCTTCTTCTTCTTCTTCTTCTTCTTCTTCTTCTTCTTCTTCTTCTTCTTCTTCTTCTTCTTCTTCTTCTTCTGCCATATCCGTTATTGGACGTGGGCGATCATGTTGGCGATCCTGTTTTTATCAGCAGCCGCACGAAAAAGTGCTGCTGAGTTTTGTCCAAACCAGTCTCTTAGATTTTGAAGCCACGATGTTCTTCTTCTGCCTGGACCTCGTTGGCCTTCCATCTTTCCCTGGAGGATTAAATGGAGTATGCCGTATTTTCCTGGGTGTCGCATCACATGTCCGAAATATTCTAATTTTCGTTTTTTAACTGTTTTGATGATTTCCCTTGGCTTTCCCAGGCGGCTTATCACCTCCTCATTTCTGATCTTGTCAACCCAGCTTCTACGTAACAGCCGCCTGTAAATCCACATTTCAAATGCTTCTAGTCTCTTCAGGTGGCCTTCTGTCAGAGACCAGCTCTCTACTCCATAGAGCAGGATAGATTCCACTACCTATCTCTTAAGTGCCATGGCAAGGGCATCGACAAGCAGCGTATTCCCTAGTTGGATTGTTGAGTTGGCTGAGCCAAGGACAGAAATTCCCCCGTGAGAATGTTTGGGGAAAGACAGGCTGCCATCTAGTGGCTAGCAAAGCGATGCACTTGGGAGCTGCCCAAAGGCTTGGCTGATGTTGAGACTTCTCCTGGAGATGGCTTGGGAAAGACCTGGGAATGTGCTGGCAAAGAGTTTTCCTGCTTTTGCCACAAAGAGCCAAACTAGACTTAGGGCATAAGAGGAAACCAGGCCACCAAAGAACAAGCACCTGAATGTTGGCCGTGTGACCGTAGGGATTCTACAGTGGTTACAAGTATATAGAATAGAATAGAATAGAATAGAATAGAATAGAATAGAATAGAATAGAATAGAATAGAGAGGAGAGAGAATAGAATAGAATAGAATAGAATAGAATAGAATAGAATACAATACAATACAATACAATACAATACAATACAATACAATACAATACAATACAATACAATACAGAGGAGAGAGAATAGAATAGAATAGAATAGAATACAATACAATACATAGAGAGGAGAGAGAATAGAATAGAATAGAATAGAATAGAATAGAATACAATACAATAGAGAGGAGAGAGAAGAGAAGAGAATAGACTAGACTAGACTAGACTAGACTAGACTAGACTAGAGCAGAGCAGAGCAGAGTAGAGTAGAGTAGAGTAGAGTAGAGCTGGAAGAGATCTTGAAGGTCTTCTAGTCCAGCCCCCTGATCAAGCACTTGTGGTACATTTCTTTTTTCAATGCTGGGTTGTAGAGAACCTATGCACTTCTATAGAGTAGATATGGTCTTTCTAAATTAGATATGGCTACACTTAACACATGTCCTTTTCCACCAGAAAATGATGGATGAGTGCCAGGACCACCGATGGTGCCATTTCCTTGTCCACAGCCGAGTGTTCGGGCCTGATCCGTGCCCAGGAACACACAAATACTTGGTGGTTTCCTACAAATGCAGACCTGGTGAGTGACTTCAGCA